ACTCAAAGTTCCTCTGTAACTCCTCTATAACATGATCAAAATGTCCCACCAGCCCAGTTCATGTCTCCCCCACAAATTTAAGTCAACACAAATTAATTGACCAGAGCTATGGAAGATGATGCAAAAATAACACTATTTCCAAGGGTGGGGTTCTTGTACGGGTTGGTACCGGTTCGCTTCGTGTGCGCTTTGCCTCTGACTATATCTCCACATTTTTATTTTATTCATTGTTCCAATGATGATCGCAGTTTGGGAAAACTATTCAATGCAGTGTTCAATACAGGTAGTCCTCGACTTGCAACAGTTTGCTTAATGACTATTCAACGTTACAATGGAACTGAAAAAAGTGACTTACAACCATTTTTCATATGACCATTGCAGCATCCCCATGGTCACATGATCTACATTCGGATGCACGACACCTGACTCACATTACGTTTCCCAGGGTCACGTGATCCCCTTTTACAACCTTCTGACAAGCAAAGTCAATGGAGAAGTCAGAATCATTTAAACGCGCTACTAAATTAACAACTGCAGTGATTCACTTAACAAATGTGGCAAGAAAAGTTGTAAAATGGGGCAAACTCGCTAAACAAATTTCTCACTTAGCAACAGCAATTTTGGGCTCAATTGTGGTCTTAAGTTGAAGACTACCTGTACATCTGGAGAGTCAAGTTGGGGAAGGATGCTTTAGAACTGTGTTTTTCAGTCTTGGCAACTTTAAGATGTGTGGACTTCAGCTTCAGCTTCCAAAATTCCCCAGTCAGCATGCTGGGAGTTGAAGTACACAGATCTTAAGAATGCCAAGTTTGAAACATTCTGATTTAGAAGGATGTACCCTTGCACAAAGTGGTATTTGTTTCAGAGGCATTCACCCAACCAGAGAAGCAGCATCAGCTTGCTGCCCTTTTCTCTGCTAGAGAGAACATCCATTATAACTCAGGATCCTGACATAGAAGGTTGAACTGCAGGAACTTAAGTGTTCATCAAAACGACAAAAACTATGTTGTGCCATTGTAAGAAATGCACATGCAAAAGGGATGAAAGGCACTTAAATTGTGCCACTACAATAGTTTTCATCATTGGTTTCCCCACCCCTCCTACAGACCTGTGTGCATATAAGCATTGGGCTTCTGCAGCTCTTCTCCAACAGGGCCAGCTAACGTCCAGATCCGCTGTGGAGATAACGTTGCAAAAGCAAATCTGGACCATTAATACTGGAGAAGGCAGTTTTCCGTTTGCAAGTCGCCTCAGCTTTACTCACTTTTCTGTAGAAGCCAAGGCATCTTGCTCTCTTGACACACTTTCCTCATGCCCTTCTGTTCTGAAATCAAGTTGCCAAATCATTCTTCCACAGAAAAACAGCCCTTTGGCCCTTGGCTCCACAAACTCATGAAAACAACGAGGAGGAGGGAATATATAATGGGATCATTATCCCATTATTTTCAAAATGCATACAAATCAATCTTTAAATTTGCTCGATATTTTTTCCCAGTGTTAGTTTGCTGGATTTTTCTCCTCTCCCTTTTGAAAGTAGCGGTTGCTTGCACCTTTCTGGGCAAGTGACATTTCAGTATTTCTCAGATTTTTCAAAATAAAGCACATTGTGAAAAGTTCAGCCACATCACTATGTTGTGCCTTTAACTCTGGGAAGTAATTCATCTGGTTTTGAAAATTTAAGCTCAGAATGCAGTGGTATTTGCATGTGTGTCAATCTCAAAATTCAAGCCTATTCTTCATCCTGCTCTAAACAATTAGAGCACATAAGTTTTGTTTGAGAAGGGTTAGAACAGGTTTGCCAGGATGACAGCTGTACAATGTTGTATTGAAGACAGGGTAATGGTTGAGGCTGAGCACTACTTAAAACTCTTCAAATTCAAAGACACTAAAGATATAACAAAGAAATTCTGATGATCAACGGAGCTGGAGATGAAAAGAAAAAATGAAAAATAAATATATATGTGGCATTATTGTCCTTAGTTTCTCATGTGAAAAAAAAAATACTGTTGATTTGATTTGTTATCTAAAGAACTCTGAATCGCAAGAAGATAATTTTTAAAAAGCAAAAAGCCTTTGAAATGTCTTTGGATATTAGTAACTCTAACCAACAACATAGTAATTAGCCTTTTCCTGGAAAACCAATTCTCTGTGCAAAACTACATTCTCTTTTTCCAGAACGAAGCCTACATATTCCAGGCATTTAACAATGTGCTAATATGAGTCTGAGGAAAGAAATAGGTTACACATTACAATTATGCATCAAGAGAGAACCTCTGGGATAAAATGCTATTTGGACTTCAATGTCACTCAATGTTTGATTCAACATTGTGATAGAGGGAGGCATCACAATGGCAAATTATTTATTTATATATCAAAAGAGCATTGGAGCTAGAGATACACAAGGTTAGCTTCAAGAAGGCCCCTTAGCAATATTTACTACAGTGTGTATGAATAAACATTTGTAATGCATTAAAGCCCTTTAAGGTTAGCTTTTCAAAAGAATTTATTTCTTGTTAGCTTTGGAAAGAAAAGCTCTGCTTTTCAATATATGTCTCTCCCGTTCTGCAGTTTATATTAGAGTTTCATTCTGTAGCACCTTTTAACTAAAGTAGTTTTCTGATAGATTTGTTATCATTTGAGAAGTCATTTTTAAATAGGAGATGCACAATGTCAAAATACATCCATTTCTTGCACTTCTAAAGAAGTGTTTTTCAGGAGCAAACAGCTTAAAAGCAATTAAAGAAAATGACTGTATTTCTTTCATACTTTTCCTATTCATTATTAAAATGCAGGCCAAGCTAATTCTGGT